AAAATAATAAATCAAAACGCTTAGAAAAAACTAATAAATATAACGCATACTTTGGTTTTTTTTTTAATATAAAAAAAAGATGCAAATAGCTTTTGATCTTTCCATTTATTGATCGTACCTATTAAGCCTGAGCAATCAGTCAGTTCGATTAGTTTCAATTGATTCATTCAATTTTTTTGGGTTCAAAGAGATGACGCCTAATTAAAATCGAACAAAATTTGATTCAAAGGTTCTAAACCAAACTGAACCAGTTGCCAAAATTTTGAAATAATTATTGTCGATCGGTTTTCCCCCAAACCGAATTCTCTAAAATTTGGTTTGGTCGACTCGATTCCTTTCACATTTTGGCAAATGCTAGTACCTATCAACTCTTATTTCAATTACTTCTTTGACAGATTTCAAATTTTTGTTATTTGTTTTTTGTTGGGTACCAGATTTAGCATTACAAAAGAAAAAATTATTTTTGAGATCGGTTTGGTAATCTAACAAAAACAAAAATTTCCGATGGGCTTTATAGTTTGGGCCCAAAGAGAAGATGAAGTCATGAAACCTAAAATGTAAGCGACCATTTGCTACACTATAAATTGAATAAACCCTATCTTCATTTCCGTTTAGCAGTGCTCAAACCCTGAAGCCGCCATGGTAATTCCTGATCTCTGCTGCTCAATCTCCGTTTCTGAGTTTTTCTATCGATAAATCTCCCGTTTACGAGCTTGATCTGGTTGTTTAGACGATGATGGTTACTTAGATTTCTAAGTTTCGAGAGTGAAATCTAGCTTTGTAGTTTTTTCTCACTAGTGTATGGATCTGCGCGATAGCTTATAGAAAAAATCCTCTTTCACTGTATTTAGAGGTTTGATTCGTTGTTGTTGTTGTAGGGTATCGATCTTATCGCTGGAGGGAAGAGCAAGAAGACCAAGAGGACAGCACCAAAGTCCGATGATGTCTACCTCAAGCTTCTCGTCAAGGTAAAGACATACATATACGCTTCTGTTTGATCCGATCCTATATAACTTGTAGGCTGAATCGTTCTGTACATTTGGTTTATTGACAATTTGTCATTTCTTTGATGTGCTTGGCAGCTTTATCGGTTTTTGGTAAGGAGATCAGACAGCAAGTTCAATGCTGTGATACTGAAGAGGCTTTTCATGAGCAAAGTCAACAAAGCCCCTCTTTCTCTCTCAAGACTCGTTGAATTCATGAATGGCAAGGTTCTATTCTTTGAAACCCTCTCTATCTTCCTCTATATGCATCATTTCGGATTTCTGTCTTAACATGGAGAACTTTAAGAGTACTTGTATTGCCTAAGTCATGTTAGTATGTGAGAATAAAATGGCAACTTTACCTCTTATGTTACTCTGATGATACGGTTATTGAAATGTTGTGGTGTTCTCTTGTTTTAGGAGGATAAGATTGCTGTGTTGGTTGGAACTGTGACTGATGATGTGAGGGTGCACGAGATTCCTGCTATGAAGGTTACTGCCTTGAGGTTTACAGAGAGGGCTAGGGCTAGGATTGAGAAAGCTGGTGGAGAGTGCTTAACCTTTGACCAGCTTGCCCTCAGAGCTCCATTGGGCCAGAACACGGTGAGTTATTTTAAATAAACCATCATCCTTAATGTCTGAATGCTTGGGATGTCAAGTGTATGAACATGAGATGTGTTGGTGTGTATCACAGGCTCTTCTTAGAGGACCAAAGAACTCGCGTGAAGCAGTGAAGCATTTTGGTCCAGCTCCTGGTGTGCCACACAGCCATTCCAAGCCGTATGTTAGGGCCAAGGGAAGGAAGTTTGAGAAAGCTAGAGGAAGGCGAAAGAGTCGTGGATTCAAGGTCTAAGAAGATGAGGAAGAAGTTGTGTTGTTTCATTTTGTTTGGTTTCAGTATGGAGATTTTGGTAGAGAACTCTGGTTCTTCTTTCACTGTTCCTGACAATATTTTATGTTTTGACTTTTCTGTTTTAAATCGACAATTGAGTATTTTGCTTATTACTATCTCTTTTATCATGCTATTTATACTATTATTTTCGTTGAGATCGTCTATAAAGAACCCATTGTGTTGCTTAACTTGGCCTTCATTGGTTCTTTTATGAAATTCTCGTTGTTAAACTCCACATCTGGAAATATGTAGATAGATTTGTTGTTTTCGTGGTATGTGTATTTCATTTTCAGGAATGTTACTTGCACTGGAAATGTAAAAGAGTTTGTAATAAAGCTCTTAAGCTCCCAAAGGGCTTTCATTTTAAGCCTGAGCGGTGCACTGCCAACATGATTCTACCTCTACGCACCAAAAAATGCTCTTTTCTATGGTACAAGAACGAGACTTATTAAGAATGGCAGATTGAAATTCAGGCTATTGCAGAATCGATCTCCTAAATTATTGATTGATGAAATAATTATTTCTATAAATTAGTAACCCTTGTCAAATAAGAACACATTAAGGTACCACAACACATTAAGGTACCACACATTAAGAACACATAAATTAATAATTGTTTCTATAAGTACCATAAGTGTATATACTCCAACAACATTGGAACACAACTCCATGGGAATCGGAGATGGCTCAAAAGATCCAGTATGGATCTTGGAAGTTGGAACTGGTCTGATGTATGCACCGATAAAATCTCAGTAACCATTTCTCGGGTTTCCAAGAAGAACGAAGTGCGAAAACACAATGTTTTTGCAACCAAACAAGAGAATAGAGATCAAGAAACAAGTTCAACAGGCTATAATACCAACTCAAATCCATAATAGATTAGTTCTCCTCCGGATGAATAAAACGAGAAACTCTGAATCACCAGACAGATATGCAAACTAGAATCTGATCAAACCCCATCTTACATTTTTGTTATTATTGCGATTCTGCATGGAGACAAAACACTAGTCGAAACTTGCATTCAAGAACTTAAGCAATTCATTTCTCTTGCTCTCTGCAGCTTTGTCCTCTTTCGACTTGTCAACCTTCAGCAGAATCTGTAGCCAAACACAGAAGAACGTGAGCTTAGAACAGAATCTTGATGCTGAAGGAAAACCCAAAAGAGAGAGAAAGAGTCACGACTGACCTTTTTCCCTGAGACAGCACTTCTACGGTCACCATCATCCTTATCACGGCTCAGAAACTGAAATACAAAAGAGAAGAATAACGGTTAAACTCATGGTGAAAAGACAGGGGAATCATGTCAAGTTTAGATCTTATGGGCTCATGGTTTTCGTACCTTGGATAGTTTAACAGGCCCGCTGCTTCCTTCTCCATCCCCCTTCTATACAATACTCACATTGCCAGGACCAAAATGAAAAAACAAACCGAAGAAACCATAATCCAGGAAAAATCAACAAATGTCCCCGGTTTTATCATGTCACCAACCCCAGCTCCAAGTTCGAAGAGGCCACAGAGAAAGGCAAAAGAAGTATTATAAGTAACTAGTAATCTTGATGGAAACTTATATCTGAGGCAATACAACAGTTTATATAAGCACAATTAGTAATGAGCAAATAATGTCCCACCTTTCTTTCTCTGTTCTTATGCCTTTTGTGACGATGACTCTTGCTTCTCTCCTTGTCCTTAGCCTGTATATCAACAAAAGAGTACACCTTTAAGCTGAAACCCATAAGAGAGACATCACATGATTATGAATTGAGCAAAGCAAACAACCTTCTTTGGCTTTTCATGCCTCTTGTGCTTTCGTGACTTCTCGTGCTCACTATCTGAGCTCTCACCTCTGCGAACAAAACGAAATTTATCATTCTTTGGTTTCTCTAGTCTCTGTTTAATTCAATCGAATAACAACAATATTCTTATCCAGTTTCCATGAAACCAAACCAAAAACCCTAACATCGACGAACAGAAAAATCTAAAATTTCAACTCCAAATAAGAAATTAGGGTTTTTTTACTCGTAGTTCACGGCGAGAGAAAGTTAATAGCATTTCTACAAGAAATCCACGGACCTGGAGGAATCGGAGTAAGAAGAATCAGAGGAATCGGAAGGGTGCTGGCGTTTACGGCTTCGTTTTGAGCTGGATCGGCTCTTCTTACGCACCTTGAGAGAGTCTCTGTCTCGTTCGCTTCGACGGTGGCGACGGCGATCCTTACGGCGGCGATGAGAGTCCGAAGAATCAGAGGACGCGTCGGAGGACGACGATGAAGCCGCCATTGTTCAGAGGGAAAAATCAAAACAGAGAATTTAGATCTTAAGGGTTTGCTCAAAAATATATAAGAAAAAAAAAATATTCGAAATAATTAGAGGGCTTAATTATGTATGTAAGAAAGAACTTGGTGGCACTTGTTGTAAATACTAGTAAGGTTGAGAAGTTTTATGCAATACGACAATCCCTACTTACAACCCGGATCCGGATAGCAGGCGGATCAAGATTTGAAGCCCGGCCCAACCCTAAAATGAGATGGTTGAGGTTTTATTTATTTTTGGGTCAAAGATTGATAGAATTGAAAAAGGGTTAATTTGGTTAATAACCAAAAAAAAAAAAAAAGTTATAACGTAGCAACTAATCAAAAAACCCTAAAAATAGTGATTATGAGATAGGGTGTTTTGCTTAGTTATTAGATTTTCATTTTTTTCTTAGTGATCCTTGCCGATTTCCCTTGAAAATACATAGCCTTTTTGTACAACTGTTTGGAGTAGTGTTTCATCTTTGATTTAGTTGGATCAGGTTCACGTATGTCCCCAAATTTATTTTGTAATAATCAATTTATTTTTGTTGTCATATGAATTTATAATTTATTACATACAAAAATGATTATAAACACGAATGTACCTTAAACTATTTTATCTAGTCCTCTATATATTAATTGAGGAGACACTAGATAAAAAATCATATATGTCAATTAATGAGCAATTTAAGAGAGACATAATTTAATTTAGAGAAATTTCAAAAAATGCCACTTTTCAAGTGCCACTTTACAAAAATACCACATTTTTGAAATCTTTACAAAAATGCCACTTTTTCAAA